TTCCCCAGGGCGCTGTGTCTTATAGAGTGCTCCAAAAGATCGACTAAGACGAGAGCTGAAACGTATTTCGTTGTGTGTGCCTTATTTGATTGTAAAGTTAAAGTGACTTTCCCGATCCCGTACCTCAAGGGGACGATATAGAGACGAGACGAGATTCCCCCCTGACAAGTGTGGAGAACCCCTGAGAGAGAGAAGATTTCCCCCTGATAGAACATACAAGATACCTTTTTGAGCAGAAAATGTTATAGTTGATTCTCCGATAAAACGCCGACAAAACCCGACTATGAATCATCAATTTTTAGATCTATCATATTGTATGCGCAAGTGCAGAAGCTTACATTGGCGAGGCGTATTATCTGAGTTGTGAGTTCGAGCTCGTTTTTCATATTTATATGATCGTATACGTTCCTGTGATTTTGAATACTTACCTTCAGGTTTTCTTCAGTGTATGGTGAAAATATTTTTTCCGAAAGAAGTTTGTGACTGGACAGGTCGGTCTGACTATTATTATACTAGGCTTTATTTGTGTGCAGAATTAAATTCTGTAGAATTATGTTACACGTTTTTTGTTTGTGATGGTGATTCGAATTATGCATGCGCAACTAGTCATTTCAGTAGCGAATACACTGCATGCTATATCAAGCTGTCGTAACCTAATCAAGCTAACCTAATCAAACTGGTGTTTTATGTGTGACGTTTGGCGGGGGTCAACGATCTAAGTGTCCTGAGTTTCCCCTTGTTGGTAGCGCAATCATTTATGACAAATAAATATCTCTTGTTAATTATTTACAAACTATTTGCGCACAGCACGATACGCCATTACTTCATCACTCGGTCTTGTAACACGCATAGTGGGAACTGGGCTAGAAGATTATAAAGTGTTTACTTGAATAGATAAGCATATCTCATCGGCCTTCTGAATATAGTTTGAGAACTGTTAATATGTACGCAAAACTCACACGGAGATTCGACCCATGAAAGAAATTGAGCAACATGTATTCTCGTCCGGTATACAAAATCAGAATTTTGGTATGTAAACATTGCCAAAAACATGAATAAATCAACTTTTTAAAAATTGGTACAAATTCACCAGCAGGACATGACCATGTCAGTAATTAATACAAACACCGGGCTAAACTAAATGTTACCAACCGTTGTCCTGTTTGATTGTATGACCCAATTACTATTGAATATTTTTTAATGTAAGTTTATATGTTGTATGTTCTCAATTCATTGATAATTAATTTTAATGAATGAATGAGTTGTCATTCATTAATTAGTGTTTTACGACAAAGAGGTATACCTCGGTTTACTATTTAAAAAAACATCTTTGTGTATAGCACCCTCATTAGTCTAGGCTTTGTCTTTATTGAGCATTTGTATTTATTTGAGCATATTCTGATACTAAAAACGAGAATGCGCTACGCCCTCAATGGCCACTTCTGTATTTTTGTGTTCTTTTATTGTTTTAATCTTACGTTGTACGAAAATCTATAGCCATTACCTATGATAAAATAATTCTAATTAACTTGTAAATTTTGTTGTTTTGAATGAACTGTACTTAGTTACGATTGATCACGGCGACATGTGTACCAGTCCACCATGCAAAAAGCACCACTAAGTTGAATTAAAAATTGTACATACACACAGACAGACAAATATTGCAACAAAATACAGGGTTCGAACTCACGAACTGATATATGTTTTGTTAATCCAAGCTGGCTGCACCTTTTGGGGTGATGACGTGGGCGTGTCTATTCACCTTGAATATATATTTTTGACTGCATTTAATGTACCAGACAAGCGGTTAGAGTTTCCTTGCCGCGTTCCACCTTGACAACCATTGGTGTTGATTTATTACCCATCTGTCATTAAATAGATTGATAGCGTTGCACATTAGTCGTACTTTGTGTAGGAGCACATTGTAAACTGTTGCCGTTTGTATATCTTTATTAATTGATATGTTAGTTTTTGATGACTGAATAAATACGTTTCGCCATTACAATCTTCAGAGTTCAAATCACCATTCCAATCACAGTAAAGTAAACGGGCTAATCTAATAGTATAATGATCTGTACTATTGAAAACAAATTTTCTTCTGATGTGTATGGCGTCCCTATGATTGCGAGCTATGTCTTCATTGAACATTTGCTTTTTATTCTAATTTTCTGGTAGAGGAAGATGTGTATTTTAGCGGATTAGAATCTTCAATGGCTGCTGCTGTATTTCCGTATTCTTTTGATTTTTGGAACCTGCAGGACATTTCTGCAGCCTTCTTACAATGTTTCATGATAGAATAATTCTGTTGAATAGTTAATTTTGTTGCGCATTTCTAATTTGTATAGTTATTCATCATTCTTTCATTTTGGTTGGATACGAAAAATGATAAATGTATTTGTAGTAATCCCGTTGTTTAACAGTACGCAAAGTAAGCACAAAGTAATACAGATTTAATGCAGTTGGTAACGTATACGTAATTGCCTATGTGGATTGTTTAATTGCAGCCACACAGAGATAATGCCAGATGTTAATGCTCACTTTTAATATATAAATATTTATTTTCAGGTTGGCGAAAATGGTATTGAGTTAGAACCAATTAACCCTCAACAGGTATTAACATAATGATTGTATATTATATAATTCGATGTTTGTTTGTTTGTTTGTTTGTTTGACGTTGACTTTATTCGTATTACTACTATTGGGTATCCATATATTGATACGTGGTATATTTGTAAAAGACAGTATATTTTTTAGGTGGATGGATCTATGTTGCAACATCAAACTCAAACTAACGTGGCAGTTACTGAAGATATCGGTATCACAGAAACACCAAATTATGATTCATCAAATGACGAGATGGAGATTTATGAAGGCACGGGATGCTCAAGGGTAAGTTCCAATAGCATTAAAATTAAACGTAAATATGAAAACGAAGTATAATAATAAACTTGAGCGTACTCATAAAGTGCAAACATTGGCAAAATCTGCAGCAAAAGTAGTTATCCTTATTATTGCACTATTGTCTCAAGTTTACCTAAAGGAATTGGATCATGCATTTTCATCTATGAAAGGTATTTTATCCACTTTTTACATTCTGAGTGGCTACACTCAATGCAGTGAGGGGGCAGGCCAAACGTATCTGAGATGTGTCTCGATGACAGAACAGATTGGCATCATGAGGCTGTATGTCATTCCTCGTTCAAAATTGGGTGCAGCTTGGACAAAGACTTTAGAATAAGCTATGCTTCAACTATATTTGTAGGCAGCCGCGTTATTCCTCCATAGAAACCAGTCAAAGCTTTCCGATCTGTTTGGCATCCATTAAGCAATGCCCCCTGTGTGTTATCTTTTCATTTGTACACACACACAAGCTTGATATCACTCGCTTGGGGACATTCTCAAATTCTCAATTCCCAAAAACCGAGTTCTTATTTAGCTTTACATGTGCTTCTTGAACCAGTGATTGCCCTTTTCTGACGCTTGGTTCTGATGTAAGACTCCGTCCCATACAATGTAACTGTATAAGCCAAGGATATGTAAGAGCTGGAGATTGTGGAAATAGGGGACATGCCATTCATTACCACAGAGATTGATGTCACAATTGTCTCAACCCAGTCTCTATTAAGTTTTTTTGTGCCTATGTGACAAACAGCTAGAGGCTTGGCAAGCACTGTCTTAATCTAATTTGCCATACATTGAAGTGTATTTTTTGAGGTCATTGCAAATAAAGCATAATATTATTAGCCTGGCATCAGTATCTTGACTTCTGTTTTACCTATACCAGAACCTGCCTTGTAGTCACATGTTTCTATTTATAGAAATAACGTCATAAAAACAAAGTAATTAACTGCGTATAGGACATGTTGGTGTGTACCCTACAAATTACACCAAAAATACCTAGTATCCTACATATTTCACAACAGATCAATGTGCAATGTTCGTCTCTAAACAACAAAGGTTTATATATAATGACTAAATAAGTTAAATTATGCATATCTATTTTCAATGCAGTCAGTGTTCTTAGATAATTGGGGATATTTCCTTTTTATGTTTGAAGACTCGGAAAATGAAAACTGGGCTATTTACTGAATACTTTTGCGACATCATGAAGCTTTCTCGTGTTATTGTTAGATTTTCAACATGAGATTTCAATTCTTTGTAAATGAAATACTAAATTAAACCACGACACCAAAGCATAGCAGAAAAAATGAAAATCCTTCAATTCAAACAAATCGTACCAGTGAAATTGTTTTCAATTATGACCAAATCGTAATATTTGTCACTTAATCATATGTTTTTATTTTTTTACCAGAAAGTTGGAGATGGTGTTCTATCAGCTCGCCGATGGTGTTCCGAAAACCAGGACCGAATTAAAACAACAATCGCCGCCATTTGCGTCTTGGCATTTTGCGCCTATTTTATCTATGCCTGCTGGTACGACTTCAACAATGTCACCGAAATGTTGGTCTTCACTATATTGACGTTGTGTTTTTTGTTTTACGCCCTCATACGAGATAGATGTGGAGATCAAATTGACAAAGCCTGCATCGTACCATGTTGTGGTGTTCTTAAGAAATACTGGTGGATATATAAATGGTAAGCTGACATGTTCTCACCAACAAATAAAACTAAACGACACTCAAAGGGGACGTACACCTGTGGTAGTAATAACTACGAACCATGTGACTTTTAAAGTGAATCAATTCATCCCATGGATTTATATTTGGCAAATATACATTGACACATTGATTTGTAAATTAACTCTTGTGAAGTGTACGTAATAATGTTTGTATGTAAATAAGTATTATATATATATATAAATGTGTATAACTCAGAAAGAAAATATGTACACTATTCACAAGACCTTGCTACATTTTAGGGTCATAGGTTCTTTCAGTTGTGTACTACTTGGTAAAACAGCCAAAGCGTTGGTAAGTTATTGCCATGTGTCTGCTAAAACCTTCGCACAGTTACAAAAGGTTAAGTCAACAGTATGTGTTTGTGATTTTCGCTACGGGGGGGGGGCGCTAGAAACCTTAAACTTGTAACATATATTACTTATTTATCCAACTGCGCATGTAGTGGCAAGTCTCGATGGTAAAAAAGTCAACAGTACTATACAATATAGCTGCATAGAAAAGTAATTGCCACCCAAATTTTCACTGCGATTGACAAGACATTGCACATTTTTAAAACAAAAAGCAACTTGAATGTGTAGGTTTATGAATGTTCGTTATATGACTACAGGAGCAAAATAGCTAAGACCTTCAACTTGGCACACATGTTCTCCATGAGGCTCACATATCCTGTAAATGTTCAAAACAAAGGTCAATTTCATAGCACATGTTTGTATGAACTATAAGGGAGTAATAACTAAGAACTTCAAACTTGGCAGAATAGCGACCCTCTTTAAAATTAAATTAAGCTTAAGGTAACTCTATATGCGCAAAACGCTTATACTATGGCTCTGAGTGTAAATATAATTAACTGCAGTTTAGTTTATTTGTTTCAACCAAATATGACTTTGTTTTATTAGGCCTCTTTATATAATATTGGTCGTTGGACTGGTAGTGTTCATAATACTTGAAGCAAAGGATTACCCGCCACAGTTGATGTCAGCTTTAGGGGCATGTGTCTTTGTTTCATTCGGATTTGTCTTTTCAAAGTACCCGGGTGCGGTAAGTGTGTAGCATTAAATCAATATCTGTAGATAACACCTCACTGATCAATAGACCAACCATATTGTATGTCACAAGTAGACATTTGTAGACATTAAGTTAGTTAGCTACCATAGAATTGATCACAATAAATCATTCAAAATTTTGTGTGTACTGATTCACATACATGCATAAGTTGCACAGAAAAAGAAGGATGTGTTTTCAAAAGCAATACATGCAAAAAATCCATAAATCGGCTATTGGGAAATATTTTCCACAGCAATTCATGTCACATTATTCCATCGATAACCCATACTAATAATCGAAGTTCTTCCATTTTTCGAGACAGTCATAAATAACCCTCATGACACTACATATGTTTCAGCATAGGTCAATGGAAAAAAATGAGATATGAGATTTTCTGATATATGAGATTTTCATAAGTACCAATTGTAAACTATTCAAAACACACCTTTTTGATAAATTTTCCAGATCGCTTTGTGAAAAAAAAGTGTTCGGTGATCATATATCTTTATTTCAGAATATGGAACATTAAAGTAACCCAACCTCTCTTGCTGGGTACGTTTTGATTATAATGATGCCGAACTACCTTAAATTTCCGTTTATTTGAAGCAGGATGGTGGAATCATTACATTTAAATCAATAATAACAGATTATGCATCGCATATTACAAATACAAATATATTGATATAAGTGGTACGTGTAGTAGTTTACAATTTCTGCATTTACAAGTTAAAATATATTGCAGGTCAGTTCACTATTGTATCAGGTATGCATGTGATAATTACGTTAGGGAGCGTAAAAGGTCAAGTGTTGTTGTTGGGGACTTATTTATTACTCTTTGGATCAATGTGTATATTTGTATACATATTCCATATT